GGGCAGTAGTACGCCAGGTTGCAATTCTTTTTCCATGTCGTGGTACAGTTGACTAGAGCGCGTCAGGGAACACTTGGCGCATAGGTTCGAACCCTCATTACGGCTCCTGTGGATTTGTTCTTTGATATATCTACCACGTTAATGTGATTTCTGTGTAAGGTAGTTTTGTTCTTGACTCAAAGTCGGGGAGTTCTGGTTTGATTCCTGGGTGGGACAGAAATGGTTGGGGATGTTTTCTCACACCTAATGCCACTGTTCACCTACCAGTAAACGGGTACTCTGGATTTAAGCAACTGTTGTGGAATTGCATCCTGGGGAAGACAATAGTACAACCTTGAAGACCTCGATACAAACCTAATGTATGTTACCTTGAGGTGCTTCCGGGGCTTAGCGTCCCCGCGGCCCGGTCGTCGACCAGGCCTCCTGGTTGCCGGACTGATCAACCAGGCTGTTGGACGCGGCTGCTCGCAGCCTGACGTATGAGTCACAGCCTGGTTGATCAGGTATCCTTTGGAGGTGCTTATCCAGTTCTCTCTTGAACACTGTGAGGGGTCGGCCAGTTATGTCCCTTATGTGTAGTGGAAGCGTGTTGAACAGTCTCGGGCCTCTGATGTTGATAGTTCTCTCTTGAACACTGTGAGGGGTCGGCCAGTTATGTCCCTTATGTGTAGTGGAAGCGTGTTGAACAGTCTCGGGCCTCTGATGTTGATAGTTCTCTCTTGAACACTGTGAGGGGTCGGCCAGTTATGTCCCTTATGTGTAGTGGAAGCGTGTTGAACAGTCTCGGGCCTCTGATGTTGATAGTTCTCTCTTGAACACTGTGAGGGGTCGGCCAGTTATGTCCCTTATGTGTAGTGGAAGCGTGTTGAACAGTCTCGGGCCTCTGATGTTGATAGTTCTCTCTTGAACACTGTGAGGGGTCGGCCAGTTATGTCCCTTATGTGTAGTGGAAGCGTGTTGAACAGTCTCGGGCCTCTGATGTTGATAGAGTTCTCTCTCAGAGTACCAGTTGCACCTCTGTTTATGCATGTTATATATAATTATATAATATATATAAAACATGCATACATACACACACTTTGTTCCTATCCTCGACAAAACAAATTATTATTATTATACAGTACTCACTTTACGCAGTGTACTTGAAGCCCAGGTCATTACTATACAAATCACACGCAGTTCTCTATTTTAAGTGCTGTATGCCTGAAACTTCAGCGCGCTAACATGCAAAGCATATTCAGTTCTACTCCACTAAGTGTAGTTAAAATTAAATTCACTGCTATACAAAATGTATACAGCTTGCCAAGTATCTATGCTCATTGTATTACTTCAGTAGTTCAATGAGCTTAAATACTTGGCACAAGACGCTAAGCTCATTTATTTGTATTACCCACACAAAACTCGGCTCCCAAATATCTAAGTGTACTTTTGAATTTCCAAGTTCATCATGAGTATTCCAAAATAGATGCAGCATTTTTAAAATTTCAGTACCAACATGTTGTTACCACCTCTTTAGATTACAGATCATTTGATCTGAAAGAAACAATGAGCCAAATTATATTTATTTTTGGCCTATTTTCAAAATTATGTACTTTAGTGTGAGGCCTAAACACTCATAAATATAGCAAGGACACCTTCAACTGTCTTCCTTCTTTTCACAGAACTTTCCAAACAAAATACACATTTTTGACTGTGTATGTGTTTATATTTATGTGTGTATATTTGTGTGTGTGTGTAATATATATATATATATATATATGCAACAATGATCACAAAAACACTGATCCAAGTATGCAGAATAACCACATATGAAAAATAGAAACTGCTTAACGCGTTTTCGGCTAATTCGCCTTCATCAGAGCAAAGTAGAATGAAGATAAAATTGCTGATCAGACCTTTATATCCGCCTGGGCAGATCACCTGACCACCAAAAATAAGTAGAGGAAAGGAATTATAAGAAAGAAGGTAACTGCAGAAGGCCTATTGGCCCATACAAGGCAGCTCCTATGAATATCTCCAAGTGCCATACGTGTTTAAATGATTGCTATATTGTTTTGACGTGCTATATTGAGGCTTAAATAGGGATCCAACTTGTACATACCGGGGCTCACATTAAGGCTGTTGTTACAATGTTTGATCAGAGCAGACTCGATCACGTTTCGTTCAACAAAATCCTTACTTTTAACAATACATTTTGCCCCTGTGAAGTCGATAGAATGATTACATAAACTGGAATGTAAATACAATTATTTACATTCCAGTAAATATAATGTTAATTATATTTACATTAAATATAATGTAAATTATATTATTCTCTAAATAAAATAGAGAATTTACATTTACATTATATTATTTATCTTCATTCTACTTTGCTCTGATGAAGGCGAATTAGCCGAAAACGCGTTAAGCAGTTTCTATTTTTCATATGTGGTTATTCTGCATATATATATATATATATATATATATATATATTATATGCGAACAAGCCTGAATGGTCCCCAGTCATATAATTATATAATTATATATATATATATATATATATATATATATATATATATATATATATATATATATATATATATATAAGCTACTAACACACTGTATCTTGTACTACCCACTTCCCCATTATAAGTACTTAAGACATATATCCTTACCAATGTAATCACCTATGTCAGCTTATGTTGTGGATATTTGTTGATATAAAAACCTTACTACAATGTACTCTTTCATCTTACCTGATATGTTAGATTAAGGACCTGCCCGAAATGCTATGCATGTTAGTGACTTTGCATGAATGTAAAAATACTAGTCTTATGTAATCGCACCGACCCATTGTACCTTCTTGCAAATAAATTATTATTATAACACACTTGGTATTTCAGTAGGTCCTAGAGCTAAAATATAAGCATATAATAAAATATATTCACTACTAAATAAGAAGAAAATGTAATGATAGTAACAGAAATTAAATTTACATACTTACAACATCAGCATAAAGTGGTACAATTTTTGTTTATACTAATGAAGTTGAATTTCTAGAGTATAAAATACTGAATGTTAGTAGCACAAGATGCTGTGTGAGCCAATAGCCCAAGGTGGGATACTATGAAGATTAAATTAGGTACTTCATTGTTCTAATTTTGAATAACGTGTAGGTTGAATATTTTTTTAATTCATTAAAGAGTGAATTAGGACATACAGGGTCCTAATGCTATATATTTGTATAACATGTTTACATAAATTTAGTCTGACTCTGACTTAGTGTGAGATATTTATTTCTGGGGTGATGTTCATGGGTTCTATTACATCCATCTAGGAAGAGTTTCAAAACAGGATTGGAATTGAAGAATAAGGTTTTGTAAATTTAAAAAAAAATCAGAGGAGCTGTGTTGTCTGAAGAAAGAATTTGTTATTGGTCTGATGCCTGATTTTTGCTGGATGATAATGGGTTTGAGGTAGCTTATAAACTTTGAATCCCATGGGATAGATTAGTGAGTAGAATAATGTGGGAAGAGCAGGGTGGGGGACATAATATTTGATTTTTGAGAGTATACCAACAGTTTTAGAGATTTTTTTACTATGTACTCAATGTGAATAGTTAAGTCTTTTGCTCTTTAAGTTAAGTCTTAAGTTGTCTATGTATAGGCCAAGGGACTTCCCTCATTTTTCCTATCAATGTTAATATTGTCTATTTGAATGTGAATTTATTTCAAAGATCTGTTTTCAAATAAAATGCAATAGGTCTTTTCTAAGTTTAGTTTACGTTTATGTATAAATGTGAAAACTCTCCACAAGCACAAAAACACACATGTAAAGACCTGCATATAAGAAGATATGTAATTGAGGAGTTCATGTAGGTAACGTGATAAGGGTCAGCAACCACGGCTGTACAGTGAGTCTGTTTCACAGCTTCCTTATCCATATACAAAAAGGAGGCCCTGGTCGAGGATCAAGCCATGGGGACGCTAAGCCCTGAAATCATCAAGATAACCTCAAGATCTTAGATCTGAGATATATACAAGAGTTGTTACATTCTTGTACAGCCACTAGTACGCGTAGCGTTTCGGACAAGTCCTTAATCCTATGGTCCCTGGAATACGATCCCCCGCCGCGAAGAATCGTTTTTTCATCCAAGTACACATTTTACTGTTGTGTTAAACAGAGGCTACAGTTAAGGAATTGCGCCCAGTAAATCCTCCCCGGCCAGGATACGAACCCATGACATAGCGCTCGCGGAACGCCAGGCGAGTGTCTTACCACTGCACCACGGAGACTGTGAAGACTGTTTACGTTTATGTATAAATGTGAAAACTCTCCACAAGCACAAAAACACACATGTAAAGACCTGCATATAAGAAGATATGTAATTGAGGAGTTCATGTAGGTAACGTGATAAGGGTCAGCAACCACGGCTGTACAGTGAGTCTGTTTCACAGCTTCCTTATCCATATACAAAAAGGAGGCCCTGGTCGAGGATCAAGCCACGGGGACGCTAAGCCCTGAAATCATCAAGATAACCTCAAGATCTTAGATCTGAGATATATACAAGAGTTGTTACATTCTTGTACAGCCACTAGTATGCGTAGCGTTTCGGGCAAGTCCTTAATCCTATGGTCCCTGGAATACGATCCCCTGCCGCGAAGAATCGTTTTTTCATCCAAGTACACATTTTACTGTTGCGTTAAACAGAGGCTACAGTTAAGGAATTGCGCCCAGTAAATCCTCCCTGGCCAGGATACGAACCCATGACATAGCGCTCGCGGAACGCCAGGCGAGTGTCTTACCACTACACCACGGAGACTGCTCCGTGGTGTAGTGGTAGAAGACAACCATTGTGGTAGAAGTGGTAGAAGATAACCATTGCCAATGTGGTTGATCTGAAAGTACTTTGTTTAAATTTGAGATCAATAATATTTGACGTTTATTGATATGAGTGTCATCAGTAAATGACCTTCCTTTAATTAATAAAGAAGGTGGGGCCATGCTCAACTAATAATAAATAAATAATAATATTTTATTTACTATGTAATCAAACCGTGATTTGTAAAGTTTACAGAATAATGGATTTAATTTGTAAAATACCAATTGCTTCTTACAACTGTATGATCACATTTTTTCAAATTGGGCACTTAAAATTAACTATACATTCAGTATTTTGCTTTAAAAGAACATAATTTTTACATGCAGTATTGAATTATTGTATAATGCAGCACTGACACCATTATTAAGACTACATTACATGTTAAGAAACTGTTCTCTCCTATCATCTCTTTTCCTTTATAAGAGAATCTTGTTAAATTTATTACGCCACAATAAACATTTACCACACAGTCACAAGCACACAAGGACCAACACTAGGTCCTTTTAGGTAATTACTACACTATTAAATATCTCATTTTATTACACTGTTTTTATCACAAAGTGTGCCTGAATGCTGTGAGAATCCTTAATGTATCACAGTAATATCTTGAGTTAATGCCACATCAGCGGCAACTTCCTCAAATTGTTTTTCACTCGACTAAAAATCATGCATTTCCATAACCTATTTGGAAAACACTCTTAATTCACAATTGATACTGTTCTTTGGGATGCAACCTGTTATGGTTCAGTGTTCTTTATGTTATACAAGTCAGTCGAGGCGCTGGGATAAGGGCATGACTTGTTCATCGAAACATGAGAAAATGCCTAACACAGGTATTGTAAGGTCAAATTTTATGAGGTTTGTACACCTATTTCTCTACCATGGATTGAGAAATATTGTCGTGTTCATAATAAATGGATGAACATTTTATTACAGTTTGATCACCGACTTGTGCAGTATTTGACAATATTAATGAAACAGAACAGTCCGTTACCGTAACCAAAATTATAATCTAAATTATTTCAACTTTTACTTAAAAGTATTTTTTTAATGATAGATATGATAGATCTACCATTATTGAGCTGTCTGCTTAAGGTATTTTTTTCATTAAAACTAATTTTCAAATTCAGTGTGAATTTTTCTGTTTATCAACCAATTTTTAACATTTCATATAAAAAATAGCAAGAAAATGCAATAATTGTATTTGCAGATCACAGTACAGTCTATTACATACAATATATATATTGAGCTCCACTAAAATAACTATTTACAGTACAGTATATATAAAACACACGAGCACTTAATAAAGTGGTAAATAACAATCTCCTACAAAATATACAAAAACTGTTGAGAAACCAATGTAATACTGTTTCATTTTCAGTTCGTGATCACTAAGTAAATTATACAATATTATCTCCATTGAACAGTGACGTGAAACTGATGTTTGATGTTCTGAAACAGAACACTATGCATAATTAATGGTTTTATTAAAAGTACAAATGCTTAATTAATATGATTTCACTGTAATCAGATAATATTATAATTACATACAGGATAATAATAATTTATGTTTTAAAAATAAGATACTCAATGTATGAGAAATAAGTTTGCGTTGTGAACTGATATTTGGAACTGTATTTTTTTTTTTTATTATTCACTAGGATCAGAATCCTCATCACTAGTCGTGTTTCAATCTGGCTTCTATTTGTGAATTAATTTTCGGTTGTAAATATGGTTCAATAAATGCCTAGATTGTAAATTCTTTTAATTAACAGGTTTTACAATCTTCTGCACCAACACATGCTGAAACCATTTATAGCTGGATCTACTTATCCTGACCCATTCCAAGTGCCACATACTGTACGTAGTCGTAATGGCTTAGCACTTTTCTCTAGTAATTCCCTCCCTTCCTATAGCTGGATCACCCAAGGTAGGGTCCAACGGTTTGCTTCAAACCATCTTAGGCAGGTGGGTGTTAGTGTTAGATTTATGGCCTATTAACTACCATGGTCATGAAGGCCACACTCTATCTAGTTTTCTTCTACCTATAGTATATATATATATATATATATATACACAGCACTGAGACACTGAGTCATGATCTCAGTGTATATGCCTTTATGATGTGCCTCCAGCAGGAAAATCTGTTACACAACCAAATCCCTTCCATAACTTGAAAACCACAACCTTTGATCAATCTATCATTGTTATCCATCATTTTTATATATACATTTATTCTGTTTACATATTTGAAAGTTCTGGATTTCATGAATTTCACATATCAATCATCATTATGGTCAAAATGCTTTTCAGGCTTAGTTATATATATATATTAACATATATAAATTCTCACTCTTGATCTCATTCCTCTTCTCTTGCAAATTTGACTCCAAACCAACATTTGCATTAGCATCTAAATCCATAGCATTGAGCTAAACCAATGCAACTTTCAGGTTCCTTCATCACTGAGAGGAATCTTGTCGGCAGGAGCATTATCACCGTCATTTTTTAGAAGTAAACTCACAACCTTATCCAGCTTCTCCTCTAAGGCTGTAATTCTTTTGTTCAGCAAAGAGTGTGTGTCTGCCATGTCCTCCATCTTCTCACTCACTATTTCAATCATGTTAGCTTCCAGTTCCTTAATGTTTGACTTAATATCCTCGTCGGCATTTCGATGAAATTCTCCCCGTCTTATTCGGCTTCCTCTCTTGGTCCGAGTGCTGCTCTTGTTGTCGCTTGTTTCAGTTTCTCGTGTTCGTAAACACTGGTTCACATGTGTCACAAGATGTGAAGGTAGAGTAGTTTCATTATATTTCTTGTTTTGCATGATGAACAACTTGTTGAACTGTAAGTCAAGAAGAAACTATTTTTAACATCTTTTTTTTAGACCCTAAGATGAGTGAAAACTTTACTAGATGTGATGTTTTGCCTGTAAGGACTTGATCAAATGTTATTATATATAATCCTTACATAGCTTCATTCACTATTTCCAATTTTCCCATTTGATATGTTAACTGTTTTTAGTCATACAGGCCGTACACACTTTGATGTAATATTGTATTGTTAAATAGCTACACAGTTTAAGGGTTAAAAATGCCTTTGTGGGAAAACATAATGACCTATAAAATCCATTCCCAACTTGGCATTTCACTACATCATTCTACACTGTTTATCCAATTATATTTTTATGCAGCATTTTTGTAATTAGGTACAGTATAGTACAGTATTATATTGCCCAACATCAGAAAATATAAAATTATGTAATGCTGTGGAGGTTAATTATTATTACATATTTGAGAGCGCAAGTGTTATATCATGGGAAAGCATCATTATTTGATATTAATGTACGTGATCTCTCTTTTTCCAAAAGTCATGCACTAAATTATATTTCTAAAAGCTGATAGATATTGATGGAGACTCGTCTGTGATATAGGGAAAGGATAGAATGGTACACTACATAGATTTTGAGAAAGAATAGCTCTGGCTATGTGGTTAAACTGACTGCTATCTGAACAAAGATATGTCTTAAGCTGTGAATGGCTTTGTATTTAAGCTGACACTAGCCTAGCAGTGATATATCCAAAGCTGTGAATGATCTAGGTAATTATGAGGAGAAAGTACTAAGCCAGTATTAATATGCAGCTGTGAATGACTCTATGGTTGAAATGATTATTAATGTAGCACCATATGTTCTTAATTAATTAGTTACAGGTCTCTGAGGCTAAACTAAAAACTAATACAGTATAATGTCTTTTGTTAGACCTGTCTATTGCTGCTCCTCTCTCTCTTGTTATAAACATAGGTCTAAAAATGAATTAATATTAATTATATTTGTCTGTTCTTAGACATGTATGTATGTTAGTCCTCACTGTTGTTAGTCCTTCCTGTTTTTCCTGTCAGTTGTTACTTTATTCCGCTATCTTGAATGAGAGGTGTACTATGTGTACGTCTATAACATACAACCTATGCATTGTATACACACATCACCTCTAACTGTTGCTGTTACATGACTTAATAGTGTGGTAGATGAGATGATACAGGTAGCCATATTTACCTGAATTTTACCTGAGGGCCTCAATGAAGACAGGAAGCCAGTGGCTTGCCAAAGATCCGCCCCCCCCCCTATTTGCCCTGATGATATTTTCCAGCTGTATTTTAAAACCCAGCAGAGTTTTGACGTTTATGGCTTTGGCGGGTAGGCGGTTCCACTGGTTTATAACCCTATGGGTAAAAAAACATCTACTGTTTTTTGCCCTACATTATGGCTTGTTGAGCTTGAACCCATTGCTCATCACTCGTGTTACATCTGACCTTTTGAAGAAATTGTTCGGATCTACATCCTCCAAATTGTTTAGTACAGTATTTTAAAGGTTTCGATAAGATCCGCCCTGTTATGCCTGGTTTGTAGTGGTGTTAACCCAGTGGCCCTCAATGATATTCAATATATGAATATCAGCAATAATGTCATTAAACAGTGTGGTCATTCTGGACAGTCATTCTGGAGATAGATAGACAGATATATATATATATATATATATATATATATATATATATATATATATATATATATATATATATATATATGAATGTTTGTTTATGTATGAGAGAAAAAGGCATACACATGAAGACAATGATAGTGATAATAATGAATATAGGATAATAATGATGATATAAACAATGACAACTTATTATCTGAACTTACCGGACATAGATAGGCAAGACCTGTCAACAATACACATGACAATAATAATATTATTTAAAATGGAAAATGGCACTATTGTAGTCATAACACTACTCTATTGCATTTAAAAAAATAGAACAGTACAGTATTAGATTATTTTTTAAATTAATGTTTACGGTATATTCTCTGATAATTATTTTTGCCTCATTACTGAGGCAAAAGCACTCAAGAAAAGCACTCACCTTCTTCGGGTTGTTGGGAAGAATATAGACGCGGGTGTTGTAGCAGTCATAATTGCACACGTTTGCAATCTTCATCAACATGTCACACAGGCTGAAACAATGCAACCAAAATATATAATATTGTTCGTGTAGAGAAACGCCACAGTTTAAAGAATACGTGATTGAATCTGACACTTTGCCAGTAACAAGTTTATTAAATACAGTACTATATTAGAGATAATGTGCAATTGACGATCACTAAACACTTATCATTTGTATGTGGAAAATCCACAGAGAAATGAGAAAGAGAGATGAACGTTTTGGCCGATCTGGGCCTTTGTAAACACCAGACTCAATGCAATGCAGTGCAGATAGCATAGAGATAATGTATATATGGCCACTTTTTTTCTTTAATAATATAATGTACAGTAAAAGCCAAATATTATGCTGTATTAAGCATTTTCATTGAAAGTTGCTTATATAAAGGAGTAGGAGAAGATGAGTTAACAAAAATTATGCTGAGAAATGCTGTTATCGTCATGTTCTTGTTATGTAGGTAAACAGCACAAGGCTGACAACAATACAGTATAGACAAACATGTTATGAAATTTTATTTGGAGATTTATGTTTTTGCCTTTAAGGGCTTTTCTAAACCTAACAGAGATGTACAAATATAGTGTCAATAAAGCATTTTACTAAGAAATATAGACAGCAATCAAAGATCATCAACAGTAAGACCAACAAATAAAATCAGAATGATAGCTCATACTCCCAACAGAAAGTAAGCAACATAATTCCCATAAAGGGCCACAACCATCTAGGCGTTGTAAATAAACATCCACTGCAGGTAACACCTTTGTTAAAAGCACACCTAACAACGGCAACATCGTCATCATGACAAGTGTTTACACACTACCTTGCAGTAACTGTGTATGGAAGTGAGGGACGGAAAGATAAATATAAGGATAGAGCACCAAGCCATTACCTGAATTTACCTGGGGGGCCATTAACACTAGTGGCCTTGATGAGGACAGGGCTTATCGAGGGTCCCCCTCATTTGCCCTGATGAGCTTTTCCAGCTGTATTTTAAAACCCAGCAGAGTATTGGCATTTACAACTAAGGCGGGTAGGCGTTTCCACGGGTTTACAACCCTATGGGTGAAAAAGTATCTCCTGGTTTCTGTCCTACATTGTGGTTTGTTGAGCTTGAACTCGTTGCTCCTCGTTCGTGTTGCATCTGACCTTTTGAGGAAATTGTTCAGATTGACATCCTCCAAATTGTTCAGTATTTTAAAGATTTCGATAAGATCTGCCCTGTCATGCCTGGTTTGCAGTGTTGTTAGCCCAGTGGCCCTCAACCGTTCCTGATATGTAAGATGACTAAGCTCTGGTAGGATTTTTGTTGCCTGGTGTTGCATCATCTTCGGAGCAGCTGTCTTTCTGAAGATAAGGTTTCCATGCCTGGCTGCAATAATCCAGGTGGGGGGGAGGGGGCCCACTAGAGACTTATACAATTGAACAACTACTTTCTTTTCCTTGAAGGTAAAGGTACGCTTGATTATTCTCAGGGTTTGGTTCGTTTCTTTAACTGCTGCTCCCACTTGTTGTGCAACTTTTAGTAAATGATGGATTCTGACTCCAAGATCTTTTTCTTCATCTATCTGTTGTAAGGTAGTGCTGTAAATTTGGTAGTTGTGACGAGGATTGTTATGCCCCACATGCAAGGTCTTGCATTAATCGACATTAAAAAGCATTTGCCAGTCATCTGGCCCTTTGTGGAGTCCATTTAGATCTCTTTGCAAGGTTTCAATATCACTTTTACTTCCCACTTTATCTTAGATCTTAGTGTCATCTGCAAATGTGATGATGTGCTTTGTAATATTCTGATCTATGTCATTGATGTATATGACAAAAAGGGTTGGCTTGAACCCCTGTGGCACCCCACTTTGCACATTTCCCCATTCAGATTAATTCCCATTTAGCACAACCCTTTGTTTTCTGTGTTTTAACCATTGTTTTATCCATTCCAGTATTCTCCCATTTATTCCATATGAGTGTAATTTTCTTACCAGTCTCATGTGGTACCTTGTCAAAAACTTTAGCAACATCCATGTAAGCCACATCTACCGGATGTCCTTTGTCTGAATAGCCGGTTACCGTTTCAGAAATGTGAGCAGGTTAGCAAGACAAGATCTATTTTTAACAAACCCATGCTGCATTGTTTTTACAAGATTGTTCTCTGCGAGATGTTGTATGATGCCTTCCCTTAGGATTCTCTTCATAAGCTTGCAGATGGGTGATGTCAAACTGATCAGATGGTAATTTTCTGCCAGCTCTTTGTCTTTTTTTTTAAATAGGGGGGCAATATTTGCATATTTCCAATCAAAGGGAACTATCCCTTGGTCCAGGGATTTTCTGAAACGGAGTTTCAGTGGCATGCATAGTGCATCTGCCAGTTTCTTTATGACTTTGGATTGAAATCCATCCACACCTGTGGCTTTTGAGTCTTTTAGTTTGTCAATGCTCTTCCTGATTGTGTCGCATGTAATGGGTATATCCATTAATTCATTATCTTCACCTCCTTCAAATATTTGTGTGGGTGATGGGATGTCCTTCAATCTTTCTAGTGTGAACACTGATGTAAAGTATTCATTCAGAGTGTTTGCTGCCCTTTTATCATCCAATATAACTTGGCTAGCATCATCTTTTAGAGGTCCTACAGAGTCCTTTTTAGTATTCATGGAATATGTGTGGTGTTCACGAAGCTTCTTTTCATCAGTTGGTGTTAACCTTGCTAGAAAAATTCCACAGACCCAGACACATGTTACTACATATCCTCAGTACTTGGTGAGTATACACTGCTAATCTCCCCCCCTCCCCCCCCCTCTCTCTCTCTCTCTCTCTCTCTCTCTCTCTCTCTCTCTCTCTCTCTCTTCTCTCTTCTCTCTTCTCTCTTCTCTCTTCTCTCTTTTCTCTTTTCTCTTTTCTCTTTCTCTTTCTCTTTCTCTTTCTCTTTCTCTCTCTCTCTCTCTCTTTCTCTTTCTCTTTCTCTCTCTCTCTCTCTCTCTCTCTCTCTTCTCTTTCTCTTTCTTCTCTTCTCTCTCTCTCTCTCTCTCTCTCTCTCTCTCTCTCTCTCTCTCTCTCTCTCTCTCTCTCTCTCTCTCTCTCTCTCTCTCTCTCTCTCTCTCTCTCGAAAAAGTTACTCACGTGGGGATCTTAACATAGTTTGCAATATAGGCTGCAATCGAAAAGTTCTTCTCCATATGGAAAACAAGTTCAGTCTGCTTGATCAGCCTCTCCAAGTGCGCAGAGTTACGCAGGCCCTGAAAACGTGGTAGTTGGATCATTACTGAATTTTTAATTGGGAAAACTTTGAGTTTATAAAAAAAAATACACATAAGATTTTGAAGATAGAAAAGGCACTGAACATTGATTCAGTTTAAGATACAGTAGTTAATATTATAGATAAGTTATACAGTATGTAAAAAAAACTTAGATAAAATTTTACAGATGGGGAACATTTTTGAGATAAGCAAAATTTTATAAAGATGAGTAAAAGTTTATATATGTGGATGACCTTAGAGACTGATAACATTATATCTAGGTCTTAAAATAACAAATATAATCTTTCAAGATAATTTGAGATACAGTATAAGACACAGCCTATCAACTCTGTTCAAATTCAAATTCTTTATTCAGGAAAAGTACATACTGTATATAGTTGATTTACAAACATAAAGTTGGATTTATAGACAGAGCTACTAGTACATACAATACCTAAAGCCACTAATATGCATAGTGTTTCGGGCAAGAGAAAGTTAAGAAAACGTACAACTGATTATTGTGTCTAGCAATTTTGATGAACTTAGAAAAATACATGCTTCGTATGCTTAGAAAAGTAACATGCCTGGAACAGCTTAGAGAGTTGACTGGTCAGGAATAACAGCTGTATACACAAGAAACCACTGACTCAACATATTATCAGTGAGTTAAATGGTTTCTAAGTTATGCATGATGTTTTTATTCCATATTGTCCCCATTCATCTCTGTGGTTATAACAGGTGTGTTTTATTAATATGGAAAAGATTAAGAAAGTTACTTTATTTATATGTCTGGTATTAACCTGGTGTGTTCTATACTTAAGGGGGGAGGACACTAGGTATTTGGTATACCAGATAGGTGGATATACCTGATAGGGTTATGCAAAGCTTTTTTTCATCAGTTGGTGCTAACCTTGCCAGAAAAATTCCGCAGACCCAGACACATGTTACCACATATCTTACCGGCAGCTATCCTAACTCTCTTCTCCTTTTACCAGTCAGCTCGGCAGATGTCATATCCATCATTCACTCGATAAAAACCAAAGCTGGGAACACTAGTGAAATACCATCTATGGTATACAAGAGTGCCGCTCATGCCCTTGCACCACCCACAACTTTGCTATTCTACAAATCTCTAGAATGTCATATTTTCCTTAATATTCTTTAAAAAGCACAAGTAATACCAGTTCATAAAGGAGGCGATATGCCTGACATAAACAATTACAAACCAATATCTAAACTACCTATACAGTGGGGCCTCGATTTACGATGGCAATCCATTCCCAGAGACGTATCGTAAGTCGAAATATCGTAAGTCGACACAATTTTTCCCATACGAAATAAAGGAATTGAATTAATCTGTCCCACATCCCCCAAAAATATTAACTTAAAAATACATTTTATACTGAATACAATTTTTTTTCTCTAACTACAATACAGTACATATGTTTATCTTACCTTTATGGAGGACTCTTGATGGCGTATGGAAGATGGTGATGACGGGGGAAGGGGGGGAAGAGGTGTTACTGTTTGAAAGGGGAGTCCCCTTCCATTATAACATCAGGCAGTGATGACTTCTCTGGGGTACACTCTCTCCTACATTTTACCTGCATACCACTAGGACCTGGTTGTGGTTCACTGCTTGTTTGTCTCGCTAAAAAATTGTCTAGCGACACTTGGTTTTCCCTTCTTTTTAACATTTGTCTGTAGTGATGCATCACAGCGTCATTGAAAAGGTTAAGGCAACGGCTTACTGCAGCTTGATTTGGGTGAGTTGTTTCAGCAAAAGTTTACAGTTCTTCCCATGCTGCACACATTTTCTTAATTTTTTTGGAAGGGATATTCTGTACTGCCTCTATGGTTATCCTCACATGCGTTTTCATATGTTGAACCTTACCATTGATTTTCTTGGGACCCATGGCATGATATATAATAATCAGTTTTATGTTCAAAAAGCAAAAAATCACCAAAAAAATTTAAATTCCTTTAAGCGTGATCGTCACTTACTGCACTAAATAATGTTGTAAATAATAATTAAAAAAGTCCAATCATGGATGTCAACCAACAAACTCACACTAAACATAGAAAAGACCTATTGCATTTTATTTGGAAGCACATCATCAAATGAAATTCAGCTTCAGATAGACAATATTAACATCAGCAATAAAAATGATGGAAAGTTCCTTGTCCTATACTTAGATAAGAGACTCAACTTCAGCACCCACATACAACACATAGCCAAAAAAGTCTCGAAAACTGTCGGTATATTCTCTAAAATCAGATATTATGTTCCCAACTCTGCTCTCCTCTCATTATACTATGTGCTAATCTATCCCTATCTAACATATGGTATCTGTGCATGGGGGTTCAATCACCGTAAATTACCTTAAGCCCATCATCACCCAGGAAAAATGTGCTATCAAAACAATAACTAACTCTAATTTTCAGACAACACTCAACCCCTGTTTTAATCCCTAAACATGCTAAACATATTGTTGACCAGACCACACACTAGAAATTGAAGGGACGACGACGTTTCGGTCCGTCCTGGACCATTCTCAAGTCGATTGTCTCCATTCTCAAGTCACAATCGACTTGAGAATGGTCCAGGACGGACCGAAACGTCGTCGTCCCTTCAATTTCTAGTGTGTGGTTTGGTCAACATACTTCAGCCTCGTTATTGTGACTCATCGCCTGCATGCTAAACATACACACACTTTTGCTATTTAAAACATCTCTTTTTGCTATTTACATGAAAAAACCTTGTTCCTAAATGCAAATCCTGATCTGAAACTCTTCCTTGACAGATGTAATAGAACCCATAATCACCCCACCAGAAATAAATATATCTTTGATATCCCCAGAGCAAACTAAATCTGTGTAAACACTCTATGCAAATAAAGGAACCCAATCTATGGAACTCACTCCCTAACGAATTAAAAAGCTGTCCAGCTATTTTTTTAAATAGGTGTTTTAAACACTTATGCTTTATTCAAAAGTAAAGCCAAACTGTACCTAATTTCATTCTAATAGTTTCCTACCTAGTGCTTCAAACTCGCACTGTATCTTATGCTACACAATCCCCAAAAATATGTGCCTATGACATGCAACTTCACCATTTTAATCCTGCCTATCAACTTATATCATAGTTATGTTAAATGCAAATTTTGCTACAATGTTAATAGTCCTCAAATTATGCTACACTGTACCTGTTGATAATCCTCAAATTTTACTACAATGTACCTAATGGGCGTACAGTGTACAGGGTGCCTGACAGCTGAGTGGACAGCGCTTCGGATTCGTAGCACTGAGGTTCTGGGTTCGATTCCCGGTGGAGGCGAAGACAAATGGGCAAAAAGTTTCGTTCACCCTGATGCTCCTGTTCACCTAGCAGTAAATAGGTACCCAGGAGTTAAGACAGCTGCTACTGGCTGCTTCCTGGAGGTGTGTAACAAAAAGGAAGCCTGGTTGAGGACCGGGCCGCGGAGGACGCTAAGCCCCGAAATCATCTCAAGATAATCTCAAGATAACTTATTAATATTCAAATTCTCTTACAATGTACCTATCAATATTCTTTAAATTCTGCTACAGATAGCTACTTAAAATTATCTTTTAGATTAAGGACCTGCCTGAAATGCTATGCATGTTAGAGGTTTTGCAAGATTGTAAAAACATCAATGCTATGTATTCTCATAAACCCAATGTACCTTCTTGTATACATAAATAAATAAATATGGCAAAATAAATGAATAAAAAAGGTGAGGTCAGGGAGGTGAAAGTGGGGTAAGATCAAGCTTATGAGGAATTATTTATGTCACAATATATTTTTAAAGTATTAATTTAGCAAAGATTATTGCAAAGTTTAATCTTCTTTGATTCTCCTCAGCGGTGTTGCAGTATCTGGCAGCTGCAGATTCTGCTTACTGCATTCTAATACTATTCTTTAATGCTGTATATAGCATCTTTAATGTCTGCTGTTGGCTTAATGCACATGTCGCTTGCATGGTTGGTAACACATACGTGGCCAACATACATGTTACTAAAGTAATTTTACCTGATTTAAAGTCTTGCAATAAGTTACATGTCGTGCATACATAGGTGTGTTGACCCTCGCATCTGCTTTCAACTTAGCAATTGTTTAAACTTTGTGCTTTATTTAGCCATTTACACAGGATGATAAGATCATTCAAGATATTTTAATTATATACATAATGATTTTTTATATAATAGAGATAATAGACACAGATAATAGTTAAATCTTAGAAAAAATAAGTTTTTTGAAATACAGTACAGTATAGGTAATAATTACAGAAAATAATTATCAAATATTTTCTATAATGATTATAGTCATTGTAAAAATAGGATCATGGATTAACCAAGAATATATGGAAAACGGTATTTGAGCGCTTTTGTGTATATTTTAACACATCTTCAGAACTGAATACATATTATAGATAACTAGAGGGGATACCCCGCTGCACCCGGATCTCACTCTCTCTGCTTTTTCCTTTTTGCCAATCTCCTTCCTCTCTCTCTCATCTCTTTTTCCCCTATCCTCCCCCTCTCTCATCTCTTTTTCCCCTATCCTCACTCTTTTCCCATCTTCCCTATATTCAGCTTTCTTCCCCAGTATCCCATTCTTTCCCCCTCTCCTTCCCTCTCCATTTTTTGCCCCCCTCCTCACCCCTCTGTCTCTTTCATTATCTCAATGAACGTGAATTCTGTTTACACTTTCTGTATTCAAATCAAGGCATCTAGGGGCTTGGCCTACCACATTTCATCATTTTTTTCGGAGTGGGGTTTACCCTTGGGCCCGCCCAGACCACTTTATGCAGATGCGGGGGATGGGGTAGGCATACTGACCTACCTATGACCAACTCTGGATAAGACCAGTCACCCTACAAAGTTAAATGAGGCTAGCCCTATGCGTCTGGCCTCCAAACTTGGACAAACACAGACAATTTCTTATATAGATTATAGGAATAATGTATTTTGTTTATAATTATACAGAATTATGTTTATAAACAAGAATGCATGTTTCTTTGAGGTTTGGGATTAGTTGCTTGGATATACACAGAAATCACAATAGTGTGATGCATCAAATGACCAAATCTGTTATAGGTTATTGATAATTATAGATTATTGTGTTATTGATAATTATAGATTAATGTGTTATTGATAATTATAGATTATTGTAAATTATTGATAATTACAGACTATTGCAAGTTATTATTGTTAGTGATTGTAGCAAATTTCCATGTATTACACTGAGATGAGAATAACACGTGTCTTAGGTATGAGAAACAGGAGTCTGAGGGGGTGTTATGAGGATCAGGAGACTGAGTGGCATTAGGAGCATTGGTTTGAGGGGGAATCAAGAACATGAGAACGATAGTGAGGGGTATGAGGAACATGAGAACGATAGGGAGTAGGTATGAGGAAGATGAGACCGATAGTGAGGGGGTATGAGGGCCATGAGAACGATAGTGAGTATAAGGAACATAAGAACGATAATGAGGAACATGAGAACGATAGTGAGGGGGGTATAAGGGTCATGAGAACGATAGTGAAGGGGTATGATGAACATGAGAATGATAGTGAGGAGGTATGAAGACCATGAGAACGATAATGAGGGAGTATGAGGAACATGAGAACGATAGTGAGGGGGTATGAGGGCCATGAGAACGATAGTGAGGGAGTATGAAGAACATGGTAACGATGAGTATGAGGGCCACGAGAACGATAGTGAGGGGGTATGAAGAACAAGATAACAATGAGTAAGTATGAGAGACCACGAGAATGATAGTGAGGGAATATGAGGAACATGAGAACGATAGTGAGGGAGTATGAAGAACATGATAACGATAGTGAAGGAGCATGAGGAACATGAGAACGATAATGAGGGAGTAATGAGGAACATACCTGCACGTCATTAACAGCGAGAGCAACCAGCAGGTTGGAGAGGATGATGGAGACGAGAATGACGAAGAGGACGAATATGGCCTGCCCCGTGACGTACAGGTTGTTCAACCCGCAGACGAAGTTGTCATCGAAGTCCAACTCTCCGATCATCATAGTGAGAGTCTTGATGAAGGTGAAGATCGGGTTGGAGAAGACGACATTCTTCTCCCCGAGCGTGGTATCGGTCTCTGGGTCATGGAGGGTGACGTAGAAGGCCGCGGAGAAGGCTAGTAGGAGGCAGAAGTAGATGAGGAAGATCCGCAGGAAGACCTTAGCCACTCTTGTGAACATGACGACGTAGATGCCACAGTTGGGGAAGCGGCCGATGAGGAGCATGCACTCGGTCCACATGAGGAGCATGAGGCAGGAGGCCAGGTGGTGCTGCCACTTGTGAGGCTCAGGGGGCAGCACCACACTCATCACCAGTATGGTGATGATGACATGAAGCACCCCGGACAAGGACCGGAACCATGCCATCTTGTTCTGCAGTAACGACAAGAACTGCTGTATGAGAATCGCCACCAAGTAGGTGATGACGATGCCTTGCAAGGCCCTCACACCTTCATCGGGTATGTTGACTATAGAGAACTTTTTATCCACTTTGCTCTCGTTCAACTCTCGTCCACCACACCCCATAGGCCTTGACGTGTTGTTGCTGCTAACATTCTTCCACACGAACTTGTTGAATGTGAGGAGCGTTGTGACCACCGCAAACAGCACGTATAATATTACCTCAATCAGGAAGAGTCGACGGACGTTCATCCACTTGAGCAGAAGGAATGTTTCACACAACGGGTGACTCAACAGCTTGGCGTGTCCCAGCCCTACAAACGATTGCAAATTTTGAACTTGGTTTTTATCCTCTGAACAGGTTAATGGTAGGAAGTTCATAGTTACTTCTAACGTCTTGGTGTTCATTCTGGGGGAGTTGGTGACGAGGCAGTAATCAAAGACAGCGTCCATGGTGCCAGGGAAGTGGTGGAGGGTGTAGGAGAGAACAGACTCACCATTGGAGTCACAAGCGGACATGTCGGCGCCAGCGTTGAGAAGCGCCAACATGGCGGGGATGGACTGCGCTCTGGCCGCCTTGTGCAGCGGCGTCTCCCCGTTGCCGTCCTTAGCACGGATTAGAGCCCCAGCCTTCAGCAGCGTCGTGATGGCGTTGACGCATCCAGAAGCAGAGGCATCGTGCAGAGGCGTATGGCCTCTCATATCCCTGTGATCCAACACCCCCGGTCGGCCAGACTCCAGAAGCAACTTTATACACGCGGTTGACTTCGAGGCGGCCGCATAATGCAATGGCGTCTGACCGAACTGGTTCTTGGCGTAGACTGAAGCTCCAGCAGACAGCAAATACCGCACTCCCGTGGCCCAGCAGATCTGAGCCGCGCGGTGGAGCGCAGTCTCGTGGAAGGAGCCGCCGTGGCCATTGACATGGATACCCCCCTCCAGCAGCGCCTGCAGCCCTTCCAGGTTCTCATTGTCGACCATCTTGAGGAGCCTGGCGGCGTTGGGGTCCCAGGCACAGAATCCAGCGTCGCCCACACCATTGTTGCTTCCCTCTGTAACCATCCCTGCAAGCAACACTTAAATCTCAAAGTACTATTCATTATAAACAACTGAATGTAATAAGCAGACGATGAGTCACAATAATTAAGTGGCTGAAGTAATGACCAAACCACACATCAGAAGTTGGAGAAGCGACGATGTTTCGGTCCGTCCTGGACCATTATCAAGTCTCACCCAACTTGATAATGGTCCAGAATGGACCGAAACGTCGTCGCTGCTCCACCTTCTGAGTTGTGACTTGGTCATTACTGAATGTAATAACATGATTTCGAACTAATAGCATACTAAGAGTGTTACAGCTACACTTGTTAAAACATTATTATAAACAAAACTATAATCGTTTAACTGTAAACATCACTTTCAAGTATAAACAATAGTGAAATATATATTCAACACGCATTATCTTTGTAAACAACTCTCATATTTGTAAATTATTCATCTCTAATCAACACCGAACTCTGGGAACCACATTCAGTTGTAAACAACAATCATCCTTATTATTAAAGCTCAAAGTTGTTTACAAAGTCTGTAAAGGCCACTTCAGTTAACTCTTGCTTAAGTTCCTCCTGAAAATAAACCCCAGACCTCATTCCCCAGAATAAAACTATTCTATAACTTTTAAACACAAATCAATTAGAAAAAACGCAATTACTACGTAGGAACAAAAATTGTGTTACATTGTACAATCACAATGATTAAAGTATACTTGAATATTAGAATTTTTGGCTTTAATGATTATAGCATCAGCTAAGCCTTAATTAAATCTAATATGTAAGATAATTGAGAAGTGCAGACATTATCTGCACATAGACATTATGTGAGCGGTAGTTTATTGTGCACCCCATACTCCTCCTGTGAGCGGTAGTTTATTGTGCACCCCATACTCCTCCTGTGAGCAGTAGTTTATTGTGCACCCCATACTCCTCCTGTGAGCGGTAGTTTATTGTGCACCCCATACTCCTCCTGTGAGGGGTAGTTTATTGTGCACCCCATACTCCTCCTGTGAGCAGTAGTTTATTGTGCACCCCATACTCCTCCTGTGGGCGGTAGTTTATTGTGCACCCCATACTCCTCCTGTGAGCGGTAGTTTATTGTGCACCCCATACTCATCCTGTGAGCGGTAGTTTATTGTGCACCCCATACTCCTCCTGTGAGCAGTAGTTTATTGTGCACCCCATACTCCTCCTGTGAGCGGTAGTTTATTGTGCACCCCATACTCCTCCTGTGAGGGGTAGTTTATTGTGCACCCCATACTCCTCCTGTGAGCAGTAGTTTATTGTGCACCCCATACTCCTCCTGTGGGCGGTAGTTTATTGTGCACCCCATACTCCTCCTGTGAGCGGTAGTTTATTGTGCACCCCATACTCATCCTGTGAGCGGTAGTTTATTGTGCACCCCATACTCATCCTATGAGCGGTAGTTTATTGTGCACCCCATACTCATCCTATGAGCGGTAGTTTATTGTGCACCCCATACTCATCCTGTGAGCGGTAGTTTATTGTGCACCCCATATTCATCCTGTGAGCGGTAAAAAGGATTACAGAGGGCACAAAAGGTCTTTATCAGACCTCAACGGAGATTATTACATTAACAATTTCATCTATCCTCCCCCCCCCATCCCTATAATTATAATGTCTTTGTGATCCGACAGTGTATATGGTCTGTGATGTTGTTTTCAGCTTGTATATTGTGAATGTGTTCTATGGTGCTTAATTTAGCAGCAAGCTGAGCATGAGGGTTGCTTGTGATTAGTTTCTTGGTGGTATGCAGGTATGTAGGGGTCAGGATGTCAAAAGCTACTATCTGCCAGGGTGGAAGGAAGTGCTGCACTCTTTCATCTGTATATACATCGTGCAGTCCCATCATTTTAATATGAGTGGCTGCTCTTTGAATCCATTTAGACTCGCTAGTTCCATTTCGTATGTGTTCTAACAAAGACACAATGTTGCTTTTGTTATCATGCAGAAACTTTAGTCCAATCATAAGATTGATTTCAAATATTTTATCTCGAATGCTAGGAATATTTAATTCTTTCCGCATATTGAGAACTTTGGTAGTTATAGGACAGCCAAGTATAATTCTGAGCGCTTCAGTTTGCATTTTTTTTCTGTCTATCAATACTTTTGCCATTTTGCAGGACTAAAGCTGGTGCATGATAGTCTATCAGAGACCTTATATATGCTAAGTACATCATTTTAACACCGTATTTAGGGCTGTACCCACTACAGTTCTGAGAGCCTTGAGTCTGTCTCTGTTGATGTAATATGAAAGAAGAGACATTCTATACCAGGAGACATAGTCTATTGGTATGTTATCTATCTTTAGTTTTCGTGGTCCACTTTTGCAATTACCAATTTGTCTGCTAAATACCTTAGTTTTAGCAGCGTTGATTACAAGACTAAGGCTCTCACAAGCTGTACGTATACAATTTAAGACTGCATTTCGCGGTGGGTTTTAGTATGTACGAGGCTGTCATCTGCATAGCTGATTGTGATGTTTGCCGGACTAGTTGGGATTGATTTTAGTAAGGCATTAATTAGAACATTAAACAAGGTAGGACTTAGTACTCCTCCTTGTGGGGTGCCTACCTGCATTAATTTAGCTTCACTTTTGTAGCCTTGGAACAGTGCAGAGGACTTCCGCATGGTAAGATAGCCTCGTATCCATTGTAATAATTGTCCATCTATATTTGTTACACTGAGAGTTTAGTCCTGGACTATACTCAGGACTACAGTAAACTTGCTGGTTGGTCAGTAATTAGCTGTTGTGGCGGACTTAATAACCCTCCGGAGGTTGAGAGGACTTCAGTCCAACACCAAACCAAAGAGGTCGTTTATTCTGAAATAATTTTGCTTTATTTTTGATAAAGTAATATATTTTAATCTATGTTTTTGTTATTCTCCTTCGCAATGCCTAACCAGCAACGAGTATATAAGAATATTGTTGAACTCTGTTGACAGAGCCACAGGCTACTTCGCTTTCCGCTTTCTTGATCAAAGTTTTTATTATTATTATTATTATTTTCTACCACAGACGTTGCCACACATTTACAATGCTAAGCAGCATATATACATTTTCTTCTGTCCTCCATGGACAGGGTGAAAGATTTGTCAAACATATAGTTCAGGGATTTATTGAACAATCAACCACAGGTGATTGTAGTGCTTTTAAAATGCTAGGCTAAGCTACATACGTAAATACATAGATACACTGATTTTTTATGTATGCTACATAAAGTGTTCGATGTGTTTTGTACATAGGATCAAAGGGTTTGGTAAGCTGGGGAACGGAGGAACTTGAGGGCAAGGATGAAATACAGATGAAAAGTCACAATAACGTAGCTGAAAAATGTTGACCAAACCACACACACGAGAAATTGAAGAGACGACGACGTTTCGGTCCGTCCTGGACCATTCTCAAGTAGATTCTAGTGTGTGGTTTGGTCAACAAGGATGAAATCTCTGGAAGCAGAATCGAAACTTGGTTCTCGGTCGTGGATAGCAGCGGGTTGTGATCGGCACTTGTTCTGTGAACGTTCCAAGAGAGCTAAGTGTTGTGGTAAGGTATAACGGGTTTGTTTAAAGTGCAGCAAAATATATAACGAAATAAATATACAAATATTACTGCGAACTGAAACCCGCAATGTGTGTGTGTGTGTGTGTGTACCATTTTTCGCGGTATCCTATCTCATTTATTTATTTATTTATTTATTTATATATATACAAGAAGGTACATTGGGATTGTGAGGATACATAGCATAGTAATTACATTCTTATATACGTATATATATATATATATATATATATATATATATATATATATATTAGTATATTTTGGTAGCAGTCTTTCCTGTAGACATATATTATTAAATATGACCGAAAAAGTAAGATTAATAATTCTAACACTAATTTTCTCAATCTTTCGTACATTACGCTTCACTGTTGGAGGTAAATCAAATATTAATTCTCCAAAATTCATTTTTATTTCTAGTCTGACGCGACACGAGCGCGTTTCGTAAAACTTATTACATTTTCAAAGACTTTAGTTCACAAATACACAACTGAATAGAACTTACGTATCTCCGATTTTATATCTACATTTGAGTGAGGTGGGAGGGGTGATGTGGCATTAACACAAGACAGAACAAGAGGGGATATTAATAGGGTATTAAAAGTATCAACACAAGACAGAACACAAACAATGGGTATTGAATAGAAGTGTTTGTAGAAAGCCTATTGGTCCATATTTCTTGATGCTTCTATATTGGAGCGGAGTCTTGAGGTGGGTAGAATATAGTTGTGCAATAATTGGCTGTTGATTGCTGGTGTTGACTTCTTGATGTGTAGTGCCTCGCAAACGTCAAGCCGCCTGCTATCGCTGTATCTATCGATGATTTCTGTGTTGTTTACTAGGATTTCTCTGGCGATGGTTTGGTTGTGGGAAGAGATTATATGTTCCTTAATGGAACATTATAATCTCTTCCCACAACCAAACCATCGCCAGAGAAATCCTAGTAAACAACACAGAAATCATCGATAGATACAGCGATAGCAGGCGGCTTGACGTTTGCGAGGCACTACACATCAAGAAGTCAACACCAGCAATCAACAGCCAATTATTGCACAACTATATTCTACCCACCTCAAGACTCCGCTCCAATATAGAAGCATCAAGAAATATGGACCAATAGGCTTTCTACAAACACTTCTATTCAATACCCATTGTTTGTGTTCTGTCTTGTGTTGATACTTTTAATACCCTATTAATATCCCCTCTTGTTGTCTTGTGTTAATGCCACATCACCCCTCCCACCTCACTCAAATGTAGATATAAAATCGGAGATACGTAAGTTCTATTCAGTTGTGTATTTGTGAACTAAAGTCTTTGAAAATGTAATAAGTTTTACGAAACGCGCCCGTGTCGCGTCAGACTAGAAATAAAAATGAATTTTGGAGAATTAATTTTTGATTTACCTCCAACAGTGAAGCGTAATGTACGAAAGATTGAGAAAATTCGTGTTAGAATTATTAATCTTACTTTTTCGGTCATATTTAATAATATATATATATATATATATATATATATATATATATATATATATATATATATATATATATGTGTGTGTATATCACGAAAATAAACACGTGATTAAGAATGTGACAATGTCAGACCACGGAGGAAAATGAAACAGGAATTTCCTTAAGTACTTTCGTATATTAAATACATCTTCAGAAGGAATGTCTGAATATTCCTTCTGAAGATGTATTTAATATACGAAAGTACTTAAGGAAATTCCTGTTTCATTTTCCTCCGTGGTCTGACATTGTCATATATACATATATATATACATATATAATATATATACAATATATAATATATATATATATATATATATATATATATATATATATATATATATATATTATATATATATATATATATATTATATATTAATATATATATATATATATATTATATACGATAGTGGTATCCTATCATTATAATAGGCTACATGTGTAATATACTTATTTTTGATGGATATGCTTCACTCTCTCGGTTATTATATCTACTTTTTTAATTGTCGGTAATAGATAATATATATTTTATATCAAAGTTAAAGATACTAGAGTTTATAACTAAAGTAGGCTATGCTCACACTTAATTAATTTATATAGATATAATTATTTTGGGGGATATTCCGATCTCAAGGTCGTTATTGTCTGTTATACGTTATATTTCTTTTATATCGAAGGATAAAATATATTAAAAACTTGATACTCTTTACTATTAATATACTGGAAGCACCGGTAACGTTTTGCTATTAATGTCTTTTAAGATCTCATCCGAAATTTTAAGACTATTTCTATATCTAGAAAGAACGGTTTAAGGGAAGACTATTTTGTATACAAATATAAAATAAAAAAATAGGAGGCCTGGTCGACGACCGGGCCGCGGGGACGCTAAGCCCCGGAAGCACCTCAAGGTAACCTCAAGGTAACGTCTCCCTGAGCAGAGAGCAGCTTCAGCGTGGCGTGCATCTAGATAACCTCCCCGACACCCACCTGGGTTGATCATTATGATGGTTGGAGTGATGTTGGTGGACCTGTTGCTGCTTTTGGTGGTGGTGGTGGACCTGTTGCTGCTTTTGGTGGTGTTGGTGGACCTGTTGCTGCTTTTGGTGGTGTTGGTGGACCTGTTGCTGCTTTTGGTGGTGTTGGTGGACCTGTTGCTGCTTTTGGTGGTGTTGGTGGACCTGTTGCTGCTTTTGGTAGAGGTGGAGGCGCGTCCTGCTAATCGTCGAATGAAGTTCCTGAAGGGGGTGATGGCTCTCTTCTTGTGTTCCGGGCAGCGGCCTTCCTGCTTCTGTTTGTGGGTGATGCTTATCTCCTGCTGAGGCCGGTTAAGGATTCCCTGCTGCCGCTGTTGAGCATATTTTAGTGTTGTCTGCTCCTGTTTGTGTTCTTTGTGACTGTTAGAAGTTCCCTGGTGGTGAAGCCTGGGAGTCTCCAGGTCTTTGTGACTACTGACAGATCCCAGATGAAGATTCAGGGCTTCCTGCTGGGGATGTTTGGAGATGCTGTTGGCGATCTCGGTGGTATGGTCTACAGGAAGTGGACGGGTACTATGAGCGAAGCATCCCAGGAGCCGAGACATGGACCCTCAGCGCCTTCTGCAAGAGTGGGCGAGAACCGGGGAAGGGAGTGGTTACTTCAGAGAGATCACGATAGCTATGATGGTAGCGCCCTTAAGGGCCAGATTCACGAAGCAGTTACGCAAGTACTTACGAACGTGTACATCTTTCCTCAATCTTTGACAATTGATTGGTGAAGATTAAGCCACCCAAAAGGTGGCACGGGCATGAATAGCCCGCAAGTGGTGGCCCTTTTGAGCCATTACCAGTATAAAGAGCTGATACTGAAGATCTGTGGAGGTGCGACTGTACCCTGCGTGACGGGAGATGTCTCCCGTGATCTTTGACGGCTTTGGTTACATTTATTAAACAGTTTACAAGCAGGAAAACTTGCCAATCAACTGTTGTTATTGTTATAAACAGCCTCCTGGTGCTTCCGAGCTCATTAACTGTTTAATAATTGTAAACAAAGCCGCCAAAGATTGAAGAAAAGATGTACAGGTTCGTAAGTGCTGGTGTAACAGCTTCCTGAATCTGGCCCCTTGTTAAGTAAATTCCCACTTGCAAAGTTATTTAAACAATAATCGTAACGCCAGGCTATAATAATTTCAAACTAGATTTTATTGACTAGTGAAAGAATTTGTCTTTCATACGGCCTACTTGCCGTGAACAAATAAAAACAAATAATTCATATTTAAAATATTTATAAAATTAGAGGCATATGTTAGAGGAAGCATGTTGTATTTAGGCGTTAAATATAATAATATTAATTTACAGCAAGAAAATAATATTAATTGTATAATAATTATATAATGCGAAATACATAACCCTACATATTACAAACTACACATAATAAGGAAGTCCGCTGCCATACACCAGGCTACCATACACTAGGCTACCATACACCAGGCTACCATACACCAGGCTACCATACACCAGGCTACCATACACTAGGCTACCATACACCAGGCTACCATACACTAAGCTAACATACACCAGGCTACCATACACCAGGCTACCATACACCAAGCTAACATACAACAGGCTACCATACACCAGGCTACCATACACTAAGCTAACATACAACAGGCTACCATACACTAGGCTACCATACACCAAGCTGCCATACACTAGGCTACCATACACCAAGCTACCATACAACAGGCTACCATACACTAGGCTACCATACACCAAGCTACCATACAACAGGCTACCATACACTAGGCTAACATACACCTGGCTACCATACACCTTGCTACCATACACCAAGCTACCATACACCAAGCTACCATACACCAGGCTACCATACACCAGGCTACCATACACCAGGCTACCATACACCAGGCTACCATACACCAGGCTACCATACACCAGGCTACCATACACCAGGCTACCATACACCAGGCTACCATACACTAGGCTACCATACACTAAGCTAACATACACCAGGCTACCATACACCAGGCTACCATACACCAAGCTACCATACACCAGGCTACCATACACTAAGCTAACATACAACAGGCTACCATACACTAGGCTACCATACACTAGGCTACCATACACCAGGCTACCATACACTAAGCTAACATACAACAGGCTACCATACACTAGGCTACCATACACTAGGCTACCATACACTAGGCTACCATACACCAGGCTACCATACACTAGGCTACCATACACTAGGCTACCATACACCAGGCTACCATACACCAGGCTACCATACACCAAGCTACCATACACCAGGCTACCATACACTAGGCTTCCATACACTAAGCTAACATACAACAGGCTACCATACACTAGGCTACCATACACCAAGCTGCCATACACTAGGCTACCATACACTAGGCTACCATACACCAGGCTACCATACACCAGGCTACCATACACTAGGCTACCATACAACAGGCTACCATACACTAGGCTACCATACACCAAGCTGCCATACACTAGGCTACCATACACCAAGCTACCATACACTAGGCTACCATACACCAAGCTGCCATACACTAGGCTACCATACACCAGGCTACCATACACCAGGCTACCATACACTAAGCTAACATACAACAGGCTACCATACACTAGGCTACCATACACCAAGCTACCATACAACAGGCTACCATACACTAGGCTACCATACACCAAGCTACCATACAACAGGCTACCATACACTAGGCTAACATACACCTGGCTACCATACACCTTGCTACCATACACCAAGCTACCATACACCAAGCTACCATACACCAGGCTACCATACACCAGGCTACCATACACGAAGCTACCATACACCAGGCTACCATACACCAGGCTACCATACAACAGGCTACCATACACCAGGCTGCCATACACCAGGCTACCATACACCAGGCTACCATACACTAAGCTAACATACAACAGGCTACCATACACCAGGCTACCATACACCAGGCTACCATACACCAGGCTACCATACACCAGGCTACCATACACCAGGCTACCATACACTAGGCTACCATACACCAGGCTACCATACACCAGGCTACCATACACCAGGCTACCATACACCAGGCTACCATACACCAGGCTACCATACACTAGGCTACCATACACCAGGCTACCATACACCAGGCTACCATACACCAGGCTACCATACACCAGGCTACCATACACCAGGCTACCATACACCAGGCTACCATACACTAGGCTACCATACACCAGGCTACCATACACCAAGCTACCATACACCAAGCTACCATACACCAAGCTACCATACACCAAGCTACCATACACCAAGCTACCATACACCAAGCTACCATACACCAGGCTACCATACACCAGGCTACCATACACCAGGCTACCATACACCAGGCTACCATACACCAGGCTACCATACACCAGGCTACCATACACCAAGCTACCATACACCAGGCTACCATACACCAGGCTACCATACACCAGGCTACCATACACCAGGCTACCATACACCAGGCTACCATACACCAGGCTACCATACACCAGGCTACCATACACCAGGCTACCATACACCAGGCTACCATACACCAAGCTACCATACACCAGGCTACCATACACCAGGCTACCATACACCAGGCTACCATACACTAGGCTACCATACACCAGGCTACCATACACCAGGCTACCATACACTAGGCTACCATACACCAGGCTACCATACACCAGGCTACCATACACCAGGCTACCATACACCAGGCTAACATACACCAGGCTAACATACAACAGGCTACCATACACTAAGCTAACATACAACAGGCTACCATACACCAGGCTACCATACACCAGGCTACCATACACTAAGCTAACATACAACAGGCTACCATACACTAAGCTAACATACAACAGGCTACCATACACCAGGCTACCATACACCAGGCTACCATACACTAAGCTAACATACAACAGGCTACCATACACTAAGCTAACATACAACAGGCTACCATACACTAAGCTAACATACAACAGGCTACCATACACTAAGCTAACATACAACAGGCTACCATACAACAGGCTACCATACACTAAGCTAACATACAACAGGCTACCATACACCAAGCTACCATACACCAAGCTACCATACACCAAGCTACCATACACCAGGCTACCATACACCAAGCTACCATACACCAAACTACCATACACCAAGCTACCATACACCAAGCTACCATACACCAAGCTACCATACACCAGGCTACCATACACCAAGCTACCATACACCAGGCTACCATACACCAAGCTACCATACACCAAGCTACCATACACCAAGCTAACATACACCAAGCTACCATACACCAAGCTACCATACACCAAGCTACCATACACCAGGCTACCATACACCAGGCTACCATACACCAGGCTACCATACACCAAGCTACCATACACCAGGCTACCATACACCAGGCTACCATACACCAGGCTACCATACACTAGGCTACCATACACCAGGCTACCATACACCAAGCTACCATACACCAGGGTAACATACACCAAGCTGCCATACACCAGGCTACCATACACCAAGCTACCATACACCAAGCTACCATACACTAGGCTACCATAAACCAGGCTGCCATACACCAAGCTACCATACACCAAGCTACCATACACCAGGCTACCATACACCAAGCTACCATACACCAAGCTACCATACACCAAGCTACCATACACCAGGCTAATATCCACCCCGATCTCTCACACTCAAGAACCATCAACTCAGTTGTCAACAAAGACTCAGGAATTTCCCAAGACTATCTATCACTCGCCACCGGAAAATAGATATTGGTGGCAGCGTAATTATAGATATTATCAACGTAACTTTTAGTAGACAAATACGGCCCATTAATTTGTTGTTGTAGTTGATGTGGTTTCGATATCCAGATTTTCGTAATTCGTGAATGTTAATCGGTATATTTGAATTCAGAATCCAGGTACAATTGATTCTAAATATTCAAATATTCCTGTTAGTACTATATATATTTGGTCAGCCCATCCTTCTGCAACGTGGTACTTATAGCAACAGTTTGCTCAAACGTTCAAAATACTGAATGACCTTAATACAGTTTATCTTTTGAACTTTAGCAGTAAATAAAAAACCTAATCTGACGAAGGTATGAATTCACAATCCTAAGCCTAATATATGCTATTTTAGGCCTAATTTATTGGAAGTATGTGCTGTATTAAGCCTAGTAATGTTTTTTTTCACAAAATTAATAATAGCGTTAACTTTATTGGTTTATTATTGTATGTTCAATCAAATTGTTGTTATACGAGTTATTAGTTATTGGGGTGTAGATGGGGCACCCGGCGGTGCCCGGGTCTTGCTCTCCACTCTCTTCCACTTCTCACTCTTTCTCTCCCTTAACATCCTTCCCTCTTCCGTCATTCTCTCTCTCTCCCCTGTCATTCTCTCTCTCTCCCCTGTCATTCTCTCTCTCTCTCCCCTGTCATTCTCTCTCTCTCCCTTCATCTCTCTCTCTCTCTCTCAGACAATTTTATATTTCGAAAAGATGAAAATA